ATCAGACCACTATACAGATGGATGATATTTTGTATTAGGAGTACAGACTTTATATATTTATTTTATGTGCCATGGTATGAGCTTGAGTCTCAGGACCATGGTTAGGGCTCGTATATCGCCTAGGATGGATAACTGGACATAGGTGTTGTTCCCTGGTAGGTCTAGGTACTCATGCCCACCTTCGGGTGCGTATTCGCATGTTGCCTTCTATTCAGGCTGAGACAGACCTACTGGACTAGCGAGCGTCCTATAGCGTGTACTACATACATATATGGACTACTCTACATAATGTTGAGTCTTCCTAGGATGTATCTGTGTATCGGATTACTGTTTGGATTGTAATAGATCAGGACTTGCATGTGGGCCTGACCCACTTCTTTATTTTTCAGGTGCTTGTCAGTTCCAGGGATTAGAGTTTGGACGTGCAGAGCAGATACAGCTATTCATTCCTCTGATTATGTAGGAATCTTCTCTATGATAGTTGTGGATTTTATTTCTATTATTTCAATTTTGGTTTGAATATTTTAATAAGGGGTCCAATGGATGGATTCCCGAGTTGTAAACGTATGGAGTTTTGGATTATCAGATTTGATTAATTATGATTCAAGGATTTCCTTTTAGTTTCTTTCAGTTCTTAAATTTTAATTCTTACTCAATTTGTATTTTGTGTTCATTTTAAAATATTAATTGTTTGATATCCCTCGAGTTTGGGCCTGGGCCTGATCAACCCGTGTCTCGGATCCAAGGGGTATCACAGTGACACTAAGAGTATTGATCAAAATATTAATCTTGCAATGTCAATGAATGAATTATAAGTATTTCACAATTTTAATCAAAATTTAGATTAATTTCTTATAAACAAAAAATAGTTCCCAAAGGGCCAAATGATAAGGGAACCTTTGGACTCAACATAATTGAGCTTTAGAGCTATGGGATATCCATTTTACCTATTTTAATGAATATTTTAAAAGGTACTATTGACAATATCCAACAATAATAGGGGAATAAAAAGAGATCGAGAAAAGAAACCACCTAATTTATTAAAAACATGTATGAAAGTCACGACGACATATTCAATAAGAAATCTCATGGCAACTCAATTGTTGGCCACATTCATCCTTGTAAATCCTTTCATTTTGTTTCCCTAGGCTCAGCGAAAACAGGGAGAGAAGAAATGGCATTCAAAATTTATGTATTGCCATCTCAAGTTGACAAAGTACTACCAAAATTGGTTGTTGAACATACAATTAATGAGTTTGCTGGAACTCAAAACAGATTGGGGCAAAACGTGAAACCAATCTATAGCATCACTTCCCAGATAGAGAGAGAATACCGCAGATAGAGCTCCGGTTTTGCCCCAATTCAGATGCGATTTAACCCCAATCGGAAACCTAGCCTCTCAAAAATTACATAAATTAAAAAGAAGCCAGAGAAAATGAGTGAGCAGAGAGAGCTATAAAGAGAAAAACTGAAAGAAAGGGAGTGTATAACCGGTCGGACGGCGTAGGATGGAATTGACTAAGTCCACCGGAGCTCCGGTCGACGTTCTGTACTTCAGCTTACATCATCAATTTCACTTTAGTGCGAATCTAAAAAGCATAAACTCTGTCTTATATGGAAATGCAAACAAACCATGCAAATTAAAACATTATCACGGGTGAAGATTGTGACATTGAAAACATGGCCTCATAATTGCTACTTAGTGTGCCCACCTCTGTCTTATATGACAGAGACTTTCTTTTTTCTTGCAATCATCTCTCTCGAATGAGACCTACACTGTCATCTCTTTCACTCGTCTCACTCTCTCTGTCCGATTATTGCCACGACCGACAGCTGAGTAACATCATCCGAAGCTTCGCTTTCAGCCGACTCAAGTTCTCTATCTCCGACGACCACCTGAAGGAGACACCAAATTTGAGAGGTACAAGCTTTCTCTCTTTTTTCACCAATTATTGAAAGGTAGGTTTGAAACTATTTGAAGAAGATGGTTGTAGCATAAGGTCTAAATGTTGTAATTTATTATCCTTATTTAGTAAGATACCGGTAGCTTGTTTCAGATCTGAACTTGGGTATATATATATATATAGGGTTTGTCATGTTATAGTTCTCTTGTATGCATTCGGCTCTGTTTGGTTTCTGAGAAAATGTAGGTAGGCAAACTATTGGTGGATTTTTGCTTACGTCACGTGGTGAGCAAAATTCCCAAGTTTCTGATAAACAAAATGTGAACAAGTTCTGTGGATATTTTTTTTATATTATCATTATTATTATTCTTATTAGGGTTTCGTACACCCCCAAATACCGAGATAGTACGTACAACTCCCATTATTTGTTTATCTCCCTTATATTTTAAAAATGGTGCGAATTAGTGCATTTTGAGCGTTAACCGCTATTGACCGGTACCAGAGCTACAAAAAGACTAAAGTAACCCTCTATTTATGATTTCAAAAAACTAATAATATAACATAAAATATGAAAAGACTTAAATAGCCCTCTCTATCTTTATTCTCATTCTCGACACTATCTTGCCCTCTCCCTCTCTGCAATTGCAAACTACAAAACCCAAATCTTTCAGTTTTCATTTCAGATTGTTCAAAAAAATCAAAACCCATATCTTTCAGTTTCCATTTCAGATTGTTCAAAAAATCAAAACTCATATCTTTCAATTTCCATTTCAGATTGTTCCAAAAATCAAAATCCATATCTTTCAGTTTCCATATCAAATTGTTCAAAAAAAACTCATATCTTTCAATTTCCATCGCCCGCTATTCCAGTTTGGGCTCACAGGGATCAGAATAGGGATAGCAACGCTCCTTGCCTATTTTTGACTTGAGAGCTTTGTTTCTGACGTGATTGGATCAGAGCATATGTTTGGTAAATGGAACCCCTCGACATAAGCAGCTACGGTGGCAAATCCTCTGCGCACACCCTATTCCTTGTCCTTTGACAGCCGTCATTCTCTCTCAACTCTCAAGCTTGCCCCGCTCTCACTCTCTTTCTGCAACTGCTTGTATGTATGGGTTTTGTTTTAATTTTTTTTTTTTTTTTTTTTTTTCTAAATCAACTAATCAAGGTGGTGGCTTAATTTGTTACCCTCTCTCTCTCTCTCTCTCCCTCCATAATTGCAGACTACAAAAATTACAAGAATTCGAAGTTCAAAACCCATATATATATATATATATATGGTGAGGGGTAGTAAAGGAATACTAAAAGGGTAATTCCGGAATATAGGGTTTAAAATGGTCATGTGCATGACACATGACCAACTGGCGTCCAATTCTCACAAGAATAGTCACCAGTGTGACTTAATTGCACATTTTTATATCTGGTAGGAATTTATATAAATAAATCTAACTAAAAGAGTGTAAGTCGCACAAATTTAAAACCATAGGGTGTTTTTCAGACTTTTTCCTTATTATTATTTTTTCAATTCTTCACTCTTTAGAATCTTTTGCTTAAAAAAAAAATGTTTTTAACAAACCAGCTTTCACAGTTATTTAAATGTAGAATTATCACTTTTCGTTAAAAACGTTCCCCCCCCCCCCAAAAAAAAAAAAAAAGAAAAAAGTACCCTTCTCCAATTCAACGCAATTTTAATATATTCCACCCAAAAAAAAAATCTAAAATTGCTAATAAGTGAAACAAAAGTATGACAAATTCTTTAACTTTCGGTCCAATTTTCTCATAACTAAAGTTACAAAACACGAAATCATCCTTGCTTAAAGAAAATTTTTTATATATATATATTCAATTTTCTCGAGAATCAAACAGTCCCGTCTTTAATCAGTATTGCTCGGTTGCGGTGTTATTGAATATTTGTCACCGCCATTCGTTAACCGGAAGCAACTCCTATTTACATAATAGTGAGATAAAACAATATAAAGAAATTTTTTTGCTAAAGAAACATATTAGTAATAAATCATATTTTTATTAAAAAAATAAAAATAAAAATCTTTACATATTACTAGCATAATTGAAATAAACTAAATGAGACTCCAGTTAAACCCTATTATTTATCTACTTTTTGTTCCCACAAAGAACTCTCACTGTGCACTTTGGTTGACTTGAATCCTTCACATTTTGTTTATGAAACGAAAGTGTTGAAATATTACAGAGAGTAGGAAGAGAGAGAGGCAAAAAAGGGAACATCGAGCGCATAATTTTTATACCAGGAATTGTCCTACCTCCATGGGCAGGCATTTCACCATTAAAGTTGTTTCGTGTGAGCCGAAGTTCATAGAGATTGCTTAATTTACGTGCAGCTGAAAGAAAGGGTCAAAAAAAAAATTGGTAACGATCAATGTGAGTCAGTTTTTGCTTAAATTAAATTATTATGGTATTGATCCAATGAGTGAATTCAAAGAGATCCAAAAGTGACCGTTGTAAGATTTTTCACAATGTAGATGTGATTTTCCCCCCTAAATGGTTTCATTGTGAGAGATAATCACTGCTCACATTATCATTTGGGTTATAAGGGTAAAATTGTAATTTTGTATATCTTTTTCTTACATTAGAATTTTCCTTTTTTTCACGGGCAAGAAACTCACACCCCATTGGTCCAACACTCAAACTCTCACCTATCATGTTGGGAGGTAAAGGAGATATCATTAGCCTTTGGTGGTTAATTGCATCTTATTAAAATAGAGGCAATATTGTACTTTCACAATGCGCATTAACAAATTTTTTAAAAAGTCGAGTAATTTAGCTAAATCTCATAGTAATAATTTACCTCTATTGTCGACCATATAATGACAGAATTGTCGACTTCATTTGCATATATAAACCCTCGTCCTCCTGCTCTAAGATGCTTGTTTGTTACCAATATTTCACTTTTAACCTTTGAAACATACTTTGCAGATTGAGAGCAAGACATGAGTTCGAAGAGGGTGAAAAGATGTCGTTCAGTCCAGGCATGCTTCCCAGAAGCAAAGTCCGCTTCATCCGGTGCAAATGAACATCATTCAAATACAAGTTTTTTTATTGAAGAAATCCGGATCGATATGCCTCCTCTGTTGCCACCACTGCCACCACCACTTCTTGTTTCAGCACAGCTCACTGACATTTCAATGTCAACATTGCGCAGAAGATTTATACATGTTGACCGGGCCAGGGCCAGTGCAATGCCGACATTCCCCAGACCATTTAGACAATTTGACAGTGCCACTGCAATGCCTACATTAAACAGACAATTTGACAGTGCCAGTGCAATGCCAACATTACCCAGTTCATATATAATACAATTTGACAGTGCCAGTGCAATGCCAACATTAACCACACCATTTCGACAAGTTGACAGTGCCACTGCAATGCCAACATTACCCGGACCAATTATACAAGCAGGCAAGTCTATTCTTCGCAGCCTTTTTTCTTGAATTTTATGGGTTGGCAAAGTCTATTCTTCTCGAACACTACATTTTCAACATCACATGATTCACATGCATTGCTTTCTCAATACAAAGATGCAGTTTCTTAGTAATATCACTAGCATAAGTCACGACTTGATTGTGTTGCTTGAATAATTTCTGGCAGAGGCTGAATCAACCACAAATCTTACCACGTATGTGCCATTATACCAAGCTGCACTCACAGGTGATTGGAACAAGGCTAAAGAATTCATCAGTTCGCATCAACATGCACTAGCTGCTAGGATCACAAAAGGTGGGGAAACAGCACTTCACATTGCAGCTGGGGCCAAACAAACCAAGTTTGTGGAGGACTTGGTCAAATTGATGAAACCAGAAGATTTAGCACTGCAAAACAAGGCGAACAATACAGCACTTTGTTTTGCAGCTGCATCAGGAATTACAAGCATTGCAGAGATAATGGTGAAAAAGAACGAGAACTTGCCAACACTGAGGGGTAGTAATGAAGTGACAGCATTACACATGGCTGCTTTGTTAGGTTATAGGGACATGGTGCGATTTCTCTACTCGGTCACTGATGATAAGGATCTAACAAAGGAAGACTATATCGAACTACTTCTCGCTACTATCAGTTCTGATTTGTATGGTAAGGTTACATTCTACTTTACATGCTTTCATATTGAAGAAACTACTGTGAACAAGCTAATCAACTCAGTCTCCTGCTATTCTTAGATGTAGCTTTGGACATACTCCTGCCCCGAAAAGAATTAGCCATCGAGCGGGATTCAAATGGGGAGACAGCCCTTCATGTTTTAGCTCGAAAACATTCCGCATTTTCTGGCACAAGTCAGCTAGGAGTCTGGCAGAGAAGTATGTATTCATGTTATTTTCTCCATTCCTTATGAATTCATATTCTTACGACATTTATAATCATCATAATATTTTACACCACTCTAATATTCACTATGTCACAGTTATTGTGAATGTTCTGCAACTGCTGGCCAACCGTAATGGCTCAATAGCAAGGTTGTTCACCATGCTAAATCTATTTAAGTTTCGATTGAATTGCAAGCTTGATTTCTTAACAAACAAGCATGCAACATTAGGCTCACCTACCTTAGCCTCTAAAACAGAAAGTTGCTATGTTGATTCCGTGAGAAATATAACTCAATCAGTATGCCAAGGAGATTTATCTTTTTGGATCAGAAATCTATATGATCGAAATCTTTTTGTTTTTTGTTCTGGCCTTTTTGTTTTCTTTTCTTTTTCGAACCAGAAGACAAAAGAAAAAAAAGGGGAGAAAATACAGACAGAGAAGATGTAAATATAATGGTGAAATTGAAGAAGAAAATGATGGTAAAGTTGACAATCTTCAGCAATTAGTTGTTCACTGTTCTAGTTAATCATTTATGGGACACGAAAAGCTTATACATTAGATTTGTGTTTGCTTGGTTATATTCTTAAGCACTAGCTAGCCTGTGCTTAAGTAAACTGACTTGCACGGGTTTAGCCAAAAATAGCAATAGTAACATTAGATGATGAGGTGCCAGGAACAGAAAACTGCCACTTCATCACAATGGAAAAAACCATAAGAGAAGGAAGCTGAATGGCAGACAACTTGAGATAGAAGACTTCCCTCCTCAATAACAAAGTTTAAATAAAAGAATTCCCATGTTCAATAATTATAGCAACATTGAGACAAGGACGCCGAGAACATCTTGAAAATTGTTCATAATTAAAACTTTGATAAGTCTCCCCTGGACACTTTTCATTATGGCAGTTGCATACTAATACGTGTTATTCATAAAGGATCACATTTAATAAAATGTTTATATGAACTGAGACAAAAGTCTATTGGTACCATTGTTGGATTTGTAAGGTGTCAAGTCTACACAGAATGAAGACAGGCCAACCTTTTTCTAGTTTTTGAGAAATTGCACCATATGGGCACTAAAATGTGGGGATAGAAGGGAAGTATTTCTAAGAAGATGTAAGACTTGTGCAAGGAAGACTTCCCGTATGTAAGTTATTTTTCCCATAAATCTCCTTGCATGAAGAATGTTCGCAAAATCCATTTGAATGGGACAATGTGGTCTTCTTGAGATGGACTCGCATGGTCTATCTGAGATTAAAATGTAGACAAAGAATTTGTCCCACATGGTTCTTGACGCCACTGGTAAGAAGTTAGTTCAAGAGAGTAGGCTTTACTGAACAACCTGGACAATAGGAATATCAATAGTTTGTATTCAGAAAATATAACTTAACTTCATTTGTCTTGAAGGGATCCACATGCAAACACCTGATGCATCTGGCAATGCCCGTAGCTTGTCCAAATACCACAATCACAAAAATTCCAAGGTCTGTACTCTCTATCTTTATCTGTCTCTTGAGAACTTATACGATTCATTTATGGCATGTTGTTAGACTTCACAATCTTAATAAAAATCTTGTACAAGACGTTACGAACATAACCATAAAATTATTTAACAAAGACAATTTCAGTACTTTTTTCCCCAGATAAAAACTTCCAAATTTAGCGAAATATAATTGTTAGTGTATTGTCCTACTTATTAAATTTAGTTTTCTCAACAAAATATGATTTTTTCCAAAAATAATAATAATATGCTGTTTTGGAGTCTAAATCCATTAGGGTTAAACATAAAATTGAAAAGTTCTGCTAGGAATTGCAGTCTCTCAAATTAACTAAAATATTTGGCACCTGGTGTCACGACCCGCCCCATTGTGTAGATATTATCCACTTTACACACTCTTCGTGGTTACGGTTTTCAAAACGCGTCTATCCAGTTAGAAGATGTCCTACCAACAACCTTTCCTCATAGGCAATATGGGACGTAAAGATCACCCCATCTTGAGACCCAACGTCCTAACTGGCCTAATCCTCATAGGTTCGTGCATGCTTCCCCCATTTCCGGTTGGGGATTGGCTTTGATACCATCATCAACATCAATCACAACACAAACCCTTCGACACCACTATGTCAGGTAATCTAAAATGCACCCTAATTGCAATTTATAACTAGCAAGTACACTAGAGAGGGTTAACACATAGAAATCATCAAATCCACAAAACTTTGCTCCTCACAAAATATCAAAGCCTACTACTTCATACTCTTGGATTTTGTACCAAAAGATGCTACTTTTGAACTAATTAAACCACTAACCAACCTAAATCCCACCTAAACCCCAAGTTTCTTTTTTCACAAGTTAACTAAGCCCAAGTTTCTAAGCCTATCCTGACTTTATGTTAATATTAATTAACTATTAACCCCAAGGGGTTGGCCTAGTTAGAAAATACTTGGGCTCTAGTGCCTCATGAAGCATCAGGTATCAGGATCGATTCTTGCTAGGGGCAAACAATTCTTTGGAGGGGGGTGTGTGAGTTACCAACTAGGAAAAATATTAATTAACTACCATTTCCAATAAATTTCTGTAATTTTTAAATAAATTTTCCTTAATTGGTATCAATTAAAAATATAAAATAACTATTTTAATATTCCGGATGAACTCGATTTTAAGCCCATAAAATCAGACTCGGAGAGTAGGTTCCAATGGCCAAAACCCGACTCAAAACTCACAACCAGTGAAATACACTCTCCCCCACTCACTTTCCCCGCGAGTGGATTTTGTCACTAGGCATAGACCCACCTTCTTCCCCAATTTTCTGCCCAGCTCGCACCAGGAAACCCTAGCTTGCAAATTCCAGCCCTCTTTTTTCTCCCTCGATCCATCATTTATTAGCCTTGAATCATATCAAGATCATGGGTAAACTAGTTTTAAATCATTAACATAATTATAGATCCATAGGTTATGTTAATCCGCTATGTAATCCAATGGATTTCTTGGTCACACGACGTACCCATGACAATCAGCACTGTGCATGTATACATATATAGATATATATATATATATATACACAATAGTGTGCATATATATATACACACACATACATGTGAGAGTTACTATTAGTGTGATTTATTAAGACCCAACTAACCATTGCTACATATTACAAGCATCTGTTCATGAGTGGATTACTGTTAGCTTAATGCTTCACGATATGCACATATATGAATGTAGATTATGTATATAAATATACATGTATATATATTATTATATCTATACACAATCGCAAATGTAATTTTAATAATAAAATTAAGCCATCATCGCACCTGCATCCTTATAATCAATTCTATTCTTCTTAGAGTTCTCATGGGTAATTTTAACTATAAATAACAATGTCATCTAATACTTACATCTACAAACATGATTTTATAACTTAATCAATTTATCTTATTTAACGACAAACATGCCAATTACTGCTAAAAAATAATCAGAATACTACTTGCATGATAGTATAGCATTAGTTCTCTCTTAAGACTGCAGGCTGATTAGTATAACATTAGAGTCTATACTCTGTAGACAACCCTCTATATATAGTTTCAATATGCATGAAGTTATCCTATTCAGATTAGGATTCTAGTCAGTGTAGAATTCTCCTATTTAATTAGAAATACTTTTTTATTTGTATTATTCCTAATTAATTAAATACTTAATTATTCTTTTGCAGTTTCACCCTCTAATTAACCACTAATCCATGTTATAAATTTATTGGTCATTACACCTAGCCAACTACCAAAGAAAGAAAAAGAAAAAAGATTAGACTAGCTTGGCACACAGCAGAAGTTATAGATATGACACAAATTTGATTCCTTGTCTATATCTTCACTTGTTCACTTGTTCCGACTCTAGGAACGAAGGATGTTCGAGAGGAAAAGTTATTGAACATGCAAGCCCTAAAGTTGCTCAAGTGTCTTTGGGAACAAGTTCTGTTATTGGATGACTCACATATGGGGGACTTACTTAAAAGTCCTTCACGACCATTATTTGTTGCTGTAGAATTCGGAAACTTTGACTTTATCATTGAGCTTATTCGCTCCTATCCGGATCTAATTTGGATAGTTGATGAGCAAAGTCGAAGCATCTTTCATATTGCAGTTATGCATCGCCAAGAAAAGATATTCAAACTTATTTATGGCATAGGAGCACATAAAGATTTAATTACTTCTTATAAAGATAAAGAAGATAATAACATGCTACACTTGGCTGGAAATTTGGCTCCTTCAAATCGACTTAATATTGTCTCCGGTGCCGCACTTCAGATGCAACGAGAATTATTATGGTTCAAGGTAATCATTAGTTTGTGTTTTATAACATTTTTTAATTCTTATTCTCATTTAAAATGCATTTTTGTTTTTGCAATGTTTTAATCTTCTCAACATCCGAAGGAAGTGGAGAAGAATGTCCTACCATTATACAGGGAGATGAAAAACACAGAAGGTCAAACACCACGAATGTTATTTACTCAGGAGCATAAGAAATTGGTCGAAGAAGGAGAGAAGTGGATGAAGGACACTGCCACATCATGCATGCTTGTCGCTACGCTTATTACCACAGTGATGTTTGCTGCAATTTTCACTGTACCGGGAGGGAACACTAATGAAGGCACCCCCATTTTTCTGAAAAAGAAGTCCTTCATAATTTTTTCTATATCAGATGCATTTGCCCTTTTCTCCTCAGTCACTTCTATATTAATGTTTTTATCCATCCTCACTTCACGATATGCCGAAAACGATTTCCTTGACTCCTTACCAAATAGGTTGATTATTGGTCTTACAACCCTTTTCTTTTCTATAGCATCAATGCTAATCGCTTTTAGTGCAACCTTTTTCGTTCTACTCGGCAATCAACTGGCATGGATTGTCATCCCTGTGGCACTAACTGCTGTTATTCCAGTAACATTGTTTGCATTTTTGCAGTTCCCTCTATTGGCTGACATGATGCATTCTACTTATGGATCAGGAATATTTGGTCGGCAAAGTAAAGATATGATTTATTTGTTTGACAATGAATATCACCCTTGTCATTAATACAACTTACTAGGGGAAAAAAAAAGGATATCACCCTGAATGCATAAGATTTATTAGAATGTTGTATTCTTTATGTGAAACACGCTAATATATACTGTCTACTTCTATATACTTGGTCATCTCAATCTGATCTGTGTTGTTCAAACTTAGGATGACTCCTCAATCAAAAACATAAGACCATCTCCAATGCAAAATGCCATTTTTGCATGCCAAATCTATATTTTGAGATGAGCTACAGCGTCAAAATGCTATATTTTAGCAATTCTGCTCCAATGGTGCATTTCATCTAAAATGCTATTTTTTGACACAACAACCATTATTTTTCAACTACCATTCCCAACTACAATTTTCAACAACCATTTTTTTTTTTGGTGAGTGTTTGTATTTTTTTTTTTTTTTTTTTGATAAGTAAGATTTTATTGAAAAAGTTCAAAAGGGGAGCAGAACCCAAAGAAACACAAAGGCTAAAGGGCGCCTTAGACCTTCAAAGAGGCCAAAAAAACAATAATTTTCTCCGTAGATCTATAATCTCTCCCTGAGATTCAACAAAAAAGAGTGAAAATAATAAAAAACTTAAGCATAAAAATAAGTTTCTTTTTTCCATCAAAATATCTCATATTTCTCTCGAGCCAAATACACCACCAAATACAAAGAGGTGTAGCCCTCCAAGCATCCTAAATGAGAGCCCCAACAGAGACACCTCTCCAAGCCTCAATCAACCCTCTAAAGGAACAAGGCATAACCCAATGGATCCCAAATAATCCAAGCATCAAATCCCAACAGTCTCTGGCCATGCTGCAATGTAAAAGAAGGTGATCAACTGTCTCCTCATCACACAAGCACATATAACAATGATTGACCACCACCTGATTCCTCCACCTCAAATTATCCTGGGTTAAAATCTTACCCAGGACAAAAGTCCAAGCAAAGAAGGTGACCTTCAGGGAAGCCTTAGAACGCCAAATAGATTTCCAGAGGAAAGGATCTCCAGAACCAACCGAAAGGCACCTGAAAAAGGACCTAACCTCGAAATGACCCTGCGAGTTAGGAACCCAGAACCAACAATCCGACTTCCCAAAAGTGATCACCTGGCTATACAGAAGCTCCAAAAAACGAGAAACATCCTCAATCTCCCAGTCCTGAAAGTGCCTCCTGAACTGAACATCTCAAGTCAGTCTCCCGTTATCAAGGTGATAACAGTCAACCACCATGGCCTGTCGGTGAGAAGCAATCCTATAGAGCCGTGGAAAAGCAAGAGCAAGAGGAAGCTCCCCATTGACATATACACACACACATATATATACACACAACAGACATATACGTATATATACACACAACACTGACATATATATATATATATATATATACAAGCACAACTGACATATACATATACACAAGCACAACACCAAATTGGCAGCCCAACACCAAATTGGCAGCCTATGCGATAGAGAAGAAAGAAGGAAAAGAGCAATAGCAGATTTGGTAATAGATATGTTGTGTTATATTTGGCACAACATTTGACAAAGTTATATTTTGGCAACCCATTTAGTATACATTGGAAATCCCATTTTAAACCCACATGCTATATTTTGAAAATAACAGCCCATTGGAGTTGCTCTAACAGAACATTGAATTAACAGGTGCTAAATTAGTCACATGATGTCTGCCATGCTAGAAAAGGGGGGATAACTTCATCTTGATTCACTCTTGCATTACCCTTTAGATATACCACGTTGAATTTCTAAGAGATTGGCACATTTCCATAATATCATTGGTTATTTTATTAACACAAGATAAATTTGAAGATTCAAACTACACAATTCAACCCTATGACTAAGCAATACTCCAAGACAAGTTAGGGTTCCTTTGCATAAATGAATGGATCTCAAATCATGGGATTTGAGTTTATGCAAAAGGTTGGCTATTGAAAGTTGATTTCCAAAGTCCAAGGTGATGTTAGATTGGGGATTTAAGAGAAATATTTTATGACAATCATAGGCAACTTGAATCATTGCCGGCGTGGATTTCAAAATTTCTCCTCAAACCTTGATATTTGAAATTTATATATATAATTCTCTTAAATCCATCATCATCCTTGCCTTAATCCCATATGAATGGGAGCCCATTCATATGGGATTAAGGCAAGGATGACGATAATGATGGATTTAAGAGAATTATAATTCTCTTAAATCCATTCATTTCTAATCCTCTCCAATTCATCAAGCTATATTTGGTACACCATTGAACCTAAATCCATTCATTGAAATCCTTCAATTTAAATAGAACCTTAAGGTTTCAACTTTCAATAGTTCACCAAAGGAGTAAGATTGTTATAGAAAATTCTTCATTTGTGTACTCATAGTTTAAAGCTACCAGGTTTATAAAATAAGGCATTCCAATTAAAACCTCATACATACTGATCTTCTTATTATTCTAAGAAATTGATTAAATCTTCTTTAATTCTCCATCTCCCTGTAGCTCCCATATCCATCCCTCAATAATCTTTTCAATCTTCATTGGATTGTATTACAAAACAATTGAAACCATCAATCATCCTACTTCTTGACTTAAAGAATGATCTTCACATCCATCCCTGAATTTATAAGAATTTTTAGAATGTTATGTAGTATATTCCTTTATGTGAAGCAAGCTAAAAATTTGTTATTAAAAAACTTCAAAAGTGTGAAAACAAATGTTTTCAAAGATATCATGTTTGGTTCTATATCTTGATCATCTCAATATGATATATGTTGTCCGAACTCAAGATGTTTCTTTAATTAAGTTGTAGACATAATATAATTCTGAAGAGGTGTTAAATTAGTTACATGATGTCTGCCATGCTAGAAAGAGGAGAACTTTTCTTTTCCCTATATCTTGGTTCATTTTCTCTTGCACTGCCCTTTAGATTTTTTTTTTTTTTTTCAACGAACAGTGCCCTATAGATATACCATATTGCATTTCTAAGATATGGACACAAATTCCATAATATAATTGGTTATTTTTATTAACACGAGACATATTTGTAAGATAAGGTTTGGTATCAAACTACACAAGTCAACTCTATAAAGCAGTAGTCTTAGACAAGCAAGTGCAATTTTAAGGTTCTAGCAGTTCACCCAAAGGAACGAAATTGTCATAGAAAATTCTTCAATTGAGCTTTTCTCAGAGGTCGTTCGAAGTGAGAATTTTACAGGATTTCTTGGATAAAAACATGGCATTCTGACGAAAACTAAATATATATTGATCTACTTCTTTTTTTAAGAAATAAATTAAATCTTCTTCAATCATTCATCTTCCTGTAACTCCTACATATCCATCACTTGATAGTATTATCAAAAAATCGAAACCATCAATCAATCCTACTACTTGACTTGAGGGAACGACCTTTGCACAATATAAACAGTTTAAAAAGAAAGCAAAAAGGCAGAAATAACTATCTAAAAGATGTCTTGGGTGAATGAGGATGAAGGGAGACCTAATAATCAGATTTATAAAGATTGGACAGTCTCCAAGATCCTGAATTTAATGTTGTGGCAGAAATATCATGCATCAGTAAGAAATGGTTCTGGTATAGCTGTGTTAGACGACTCAAAACAATATTGGACCCTGCTTTAATGCTATATTTGGTAGGAGGGGAGAAAGGGGGGAGTAAGGGAAGAGAGGGGGGATGGAGCAAGCTTCCTATCCCATTGTTTGGTAGAGCACAGAAGGGGAGGAATAAATTGAATGGAAAATGAGAAATCCCTCCCAGTCCACCATTGTGCTTCCATCCAAAATTGGACAGAATAATATTTGTTGGATAAATTACGAAAGATGTTATTACCCATGTCTATTAACTCTTAATTTATTCGGTGAGAGATATACCGGTAAAATAAGATCCAAAATCCCCTCTACTTTTCCTCCTGGCTCCAACTAAACAATAGAAGGTGTCGTCCTTCTCTTTCCTTCCACCCAACCAACTTCCCTTAGAATATAACTTTCATCCTTCTTTCCATCCTCCTATCAAGCCAGTAATATATTTTAGTATTTTTTCGGGCTATTAGGTTTAGGTGACTGATTTGCTACGGTCCAAATCAAGATTTAATTGGTAAAAATACCAATGAATTTGCTTTTATATATATAAATAGACTCAATTTACTCAAATTTTTTGAAGAAAAAAGAAAACCTAAAACATGGATCAAACAACAGTAAATCTGCATGTAAATAAAAATTTTCTTTCAAAATAAAGAAAATTCTATTACAGAATCTGCATGTACCTGCGTATAGAGAGATTATAGCACAGATAGAGCTCCGGTTTTGCCCCAATTCAGATGTGATTTTATCCCAAATCAAAAACCTAGCCTCTCAAAAAACATAAAATAAAAAGAAGTGAGAGATAACGAGTGAGCAGTTGAAAATATAGAGAGAGAAATTGAAAGAAATAGAATGTATTACCGTCGGACGGCGAAGGATGGAATTGTTTCTTTACTTTAAGCCTAACCAGAGTCAACTCCGCGCACACACTCCTTATAGGCAAACAAATAAAAAATAAGACCCCTGTTTTCTTTAAATTAATGTTGGATTTTTATTTTTATTTTTTTGAATTTTAAGCAACTGATTTTAATAACTATAATAATTACAAAGAGGGCCAATGGCCAAAACAACCCAAGGAAAGGGGAATCAAGCCCACACAGAGGCCCAAACAAAGAAAGGCCCATACAACGATTCAATCTAACTACCACAATTAAGCCGTTAATAGAAGTTGTTATCGCTCGGTCCGGTGAGTCCTTAGCAGAGGATGATGATCATCATCAACTGCGATCCAATTAATCCGGCGGTCTTGGAGGAGGACGACAGTGAACTGGCGACAAGTTCCAATCCATGAGAATCCGTCTTGAGGAGTGGCTGTCTCTCAGGAACCCTAATTTCAGGAGGGCAGTGATTGTGGAGGTGATCCTTGCAAGCACTGCTGTCTGAGTTGGATTGCTTTGTCTTGAAGATCCTCTCGTTTCTTTCCTCCCAAGTATGGTAGACCATGGAAGAAAAGCAAACTTTGCGCAGCAAGTTCATGGGCGAATTATTCCTCCATTGAGAGCTTATGAAGTGGATTAGGTCTTCCCAATTTGAGATTGCAGTATTGAAATTGCATTTGAGTTTGATGAAGCGCCAAATTAGGGATATGAAGCTGCAGTTGAAGAAGAGGTGTTGATGGGACCTTGGTTGTTGCAGAGAACACAAACATTTTCATGGCGAGACATTGCTTTACTGTCAAGAGTAGGAAGTCTGAATTGGACTGCTAGCCAGAGGTTAAACTTCATCCCGAGAATTATGGGAGATTTCCAAACTAGGTTGTGCCAGTGAACTGTAGGGAAGTGGTCAGCAAGATGCCATTTTGTGGATTTGAGACTGTATGAACCATTTGAGGATGGCAGCCAAATTTTTTTGTCACATCTAGAAGGACCCGGACCCGGGCCTGGGGGGCGGGGTGTGAGGCTTATGGGTTGTTTGTATTAAATTGATGCATTGAAATTATAGAAAATCTAGTTTACAAATTGAACTAAAAAATTTTCAATTTTAATATCAGCATAAATAATATTTAAACTTTTTCACAACACTAATTACATTCGTCAATAAACTTGACTCATCATACCTTATTCTAAGACGTGTTTATAGAAAATCTCTTTATCATATTAAAAATTGTATTTTGATGATTGAATGACCTAATGTCTACATTGCAACATTTAAATAGTCATTAATACAAGAACTGTGAATTTTATTAATGACATTTTAAAAAGAGAAATTATCAACTTCTAATAAAACCTACACCCAATTCTCATTCTTTCAAATCCAAAACTTTACAAAAATGATGACTAGAATTGGAGTTAGTTCAAATTGCAAACTTATGTAAAGAGTGAACTAGAATTGGAATTAGTTCAAATTGTAAACTTATGTCCTCATATCCCATTTCAAATTACTAATTGCACACTGTTCTCAAAAGCCTTATATATATATATATATATATATATATATATATATATATATTATTATTTTTAAAGCCGTAGTTGATTATTTCTCCTAAAGAAACCAATAATTTTTCAAAAGGCAGTTGCATAAAACTGATTTTAGAAGAGCAATGTTGTTTGGTCCTCTGTTTGCTAATAAAAGTTTGCATAGAGAGATGAAAAAAAAAAAAAAAGAAAAGGGTACGTTACAAAAAAAACAAGAAAAAAAAAAAAAAAAACAAAACAAAAAACAAAGGGTGCGTTTAGTAACGTTTTCGTTTTTTGATTTTGCAGTCGCAAAGAAATAGAAACATAATTTTGTTTTCCGGAATAAAAATAAAAAGCAAAAATAACGTTTAGTAACCTTTACTGTTGCGACAATTTTAATAACAAAAAACAAAAGCAGTCTTTAGTAAAACATTTGTTGCAATTTTTTTTTTTTTTTTTTTTTTTGGGAAATTTTTTAAATTTTCTTTTTTTTATTCATCTATCAAAATCTAACTTTCAATCACAATAAAGAAACTACCATCCTAGAATCTTTTAATCCCAACAAATATGAAAATAATAATAATAATAATAATAAATAACCCATACATATACAACAATCAGAAAAAGGGGAAAAAAAATATATATACAGGGAAAGATACCAGCATAGAGTTGTATAATATATATATATATATATATATATATATATATATATATATATATATAATATAAAAATAGATTTTATATATACATATATATTAACAACAAATCTAAAAACAAATGATATTTTTAAACAAATTATCAACCCCTTCAAGTCTCAGATGGGTTGAATAGAGGAGAGAGAATGAGATACTAGTGAGGACTTTCTGTGAAGAGAGGACGTGTTGTTTGGTCGTAGAAGATGAGGCCCTGTGATGAAGAGAGGACAGTGAAGAAAGTACTAATGGAAAAGTAAAGAGATTAAATAATGGAAGAGTAAAGAGTAGTAATATCAGTAGAAAAAACGAGACAAGCAGTGGTGAAAACGTTTCCTCTGTTACAGTGAAAAAATACAAGAAACATTATTTTAATATTTTTTCTTTCTTTCATAAAAACGAGAAATATTTTTTATTAAGAGAAAACAAAAACAAATTACTAAACATGATTTTTGTGTTTGTTTATCCTTTTTAAGGTTTGACAATAGAAAACAAAAAATGTTTTCGGTTACTAAACACAACCAACTTATTTACCAAGGAAATGTTAATTATCTAGATAATCTCCCACTCCGACTCAAAAAAATAAAAAAATAAAAAAACAAACTTTTTTTAGCCATGTGAATGCAACAGTGGCTGAAGCATTACCTCAGTATTTTTGGTTGTTAAATGTTAATAAAAGGAGCTCAATTTTTTTAGTTGTGGAGGATGTACAGAAACAAAAGTAACAACTGTTTTAGAGGATAGGTTACAAGTGAGTGTGTTTCAGACTGTATGCAAGTTATTAAAGATTGAATGAAATTTGTTTCAATTCAAATACCATTTTGCCGACAATAGTCAAATTTTTTTTTTTTTGGTAAGTAATAAAACTCAAGATTGGTTTCAACATTCACATAGAATAATATAAAACTTATTTATTTTAAAATCATTATCATGTAAGGGGTCCTGGCCATAAATTTGCTACTGAGGACAAACACCTGCAGACACAGAGAAAAAACCAAATGGTATATGAGCTTATGCTTGAACGGCCCTTGGTAGAACTAACATCTAGTTCAGCAAGGTCCAAAACTGTAGGACGATTGCTCAGCAGAACAATAATAACGACACAGTATATAATGAAGTTGAAGCAGCGTCTACGGAACCAAAATTTAGTTGCTTGTGTCATAGATAACTTACGGGGATTTCTCAGGAACTTGATTTCATGCCAAAAGATTACAATCATAGTGGGAACTCAATTTGAAAGATATTGATGAGGAAGCAATTGGACTGCAGTTCTATATATAGCTCTATATATCGGAGGACCAAAGTGTGCCTACTCCTTCACATCATCACTATCCATAAGCAAAATATTCTCTGCAAAATTTAGTTAGCAAACAATGGGTTTTACACTCAATTGGAAGCTAATTTGTGCAACTTTGCTATTTTTGGGGATAGGGATTTCTGAAGTCACTTCCCGTACCCTGAATGAAGTATCCATGATTGACAGACATGAGCAATGGATAGCTCGTTATGGAAGAGTTTACAAGGACAATGTAGAGAAAGAAATGCGATTTAAGATATTCAAGGATAATATGGAGTTTATCGAGTGTTTCAACAGTGCTGGTACAAAGCCTTACAAGCTAGGCATCAATGAATTTGCTGATTTAACCAATGAGGAGTTTCAAGCTTTTCGTAATGGTTACAAGATGTCCTCCAATCTCAAGTCATCTAAAACAACTTCGTTTAGGTATGAAAATGTGACTGCAGTTCCATCTAGCATGGATTGGAGAAAGAAAGGAGCCGTTACTCCCATTAAGGATCAGGGTCAATGTGGTAAGGCACAACAAGCTTCCTTTTGCTAATCCACTGCATTTTCTCATATGCAATTACTTTTTCATATCCTTTTGACTAACTTAAAACATATGTTATAATACAATCCATAAAAAAAATGCAGGATGTTGCTGGGCATTCTCAGCAGTGGCAGCCATGGAAGGGATTAACCAGCTCACAACCGGCAAATTGATCTCATTATCTGAACAAGAACTTGTTGACTGCGACACAAGTGGTGTTGATCAAGGCTGTGGGGGTGGCCTCATGGATGATGCCTTTGAATTCATAATACACAACAATGGCCTCACTACCGAAGCCAATTATCCATATGAAGGAGTAGATGCAACTTGTAAAACTAAGAAGGTAGCTGTAGCTAAGATTACCGGTTATGAAGATGTGCCTGCCAATAGTGAGGCGGCATTGTTGAAGGCTGTTGCCAACCAACCCGTATCTGTTGCCATTGATGCTAGCGGATCTGACTTCCAATTCTACTCGAGTGGTGTTTTTACCGGGGATTGTGGGACTGAATTAGACCACGGGGTTACAGCAGTTGGGTATGGGACGAGTGACGATGGTACTAAGTATTGGTTGGTCAAGAATTCTTGGGGTACTAGCTGGGGCGATAATGGATATATTATGATGGAAAGAGACATTGCTGCTAAGGAAGGCATTTGTGGCATTGCCATGGAATCTTCCTATCCTACTGCTTAAATAGCAAAATAGTGGGTGGATCCTCGATCATCTTGAGTTCCCAGTGGTTTCACCTTGCTTACTATCTATATGCTGTATTACTCGTTCTTGATCTTGTATTTAGTATTGTATTGCAGTTCATATGTAAATGAAATACAATCTTCAGTGGTGAAGAAACTGCAAAGTGTTTTTTTGTTGATTATACTCCCACGTCTCACAATTTCATGCAATTGATAAAACCAAGATTCAAAGCCCTACTAATTAGATTAGCATCCTCATACGCAATAAAAATCTCACCCCTAAAAGCTATATACGATATCACACATCTAATTATTTATTCAATCAGTAATTTGGCATCCAAAAGAAGCTCAATTTCAAGATAAACTAGACTAAGTTCTTTGCCTAAACTGGTGGAGCTTCTCTGCAGTAGAACTGATAGAATACCAATAGACTGAAATGATGCTTGTCCAAAAAATGGCTATTTCAATGGCATTTTCAAGTAAGATACCTTTCTACATTTCATTCCTTTTATGCCCTCAACAGCAGTAAAAATACTGCTGATTCTATTACGCAATTCTTAGTATGTGATGCTGAACAACATGTTAAAAGCCCCTTATATTACTGCTTGAAGCTAGATTACTTTGTGAGATCCTTAGGTAGCTTATAGCTTAATTGATGAAGGGGAGTAGTTTTTTTTTCTCATTTCGAGGATGAAATGTCGAAAAGTAATGCAAAATGCTGCAAAAGGATGAACTAGCAGCACAAGTACTACCTATTCTTTTCGACTATAACCAAGGAAATCGATTATTGGGGTCTAAAAAGACCGTAAAATATAAAGTGTCACTGTTCTCAATATACAAGAAAACAGAAGATCACAACAACGGCTGGAACATGCACACCTCTTCCTGGGAGAGGAAGACTATTTTTCTCTTCAGCCAAAATTTACAGTTTTTAAAAATATGGAACTCTCTTCATAGAACTAGGATTGAAATTAGTTCAAATTGTAAACTTATGTTACTTTCATCCCAATTCCAAATAACGGATTGCACACTGTTGTCAAAAGCGTTTTATTTATTTATTATTTCTCCTAAAGAAACCTATAAAATTTCAAAAGGCAGTTGAAAAAAATTGAATTTAGAAAAGGATGTTCACCCCTGTTTGTTGTATGGTTAGCTGTTTGTTAATAACAGTTTGCTTAGGAATAAAAAATAAAAAATCAACAAATCAATCTGTTAACATCTTTATCCGGTTCCTAAATTTTATTAACAAATCAACAAGAACCACAAAATGCACAACAAATACATTAATAGGACTTCAGAGAACACAACAAACACAAGTTTTGCAGCAATTCATACTAAATTTATTATATTTCACTGCCTACGGAGAAATTTTGTCAGCTTTTACATCTAGTTCATTTTTCGTCTTATGATTAAAATTATTTCAACCTGTAGACTCCAATGTTAAAAACGAGCCGCTGGGTGGGCTATGATAGTTACAGATAAGTTGGCTCTGTTTTAATAGCAGCAGGAGACAAGAACTCATTTCATAGGTGTAGACGGTGGTCTGTGGTGGTTTATGGCCTGTCACGGTGGTTAGAATTGTTTGCTTCTATTACATTGCCCAGGACTTCCAAGGTCAGTATACTGCTCAAGCTCATTTCAGTCTATTGATATTCTATTAGGTCTACTGCAAAGAAACTCAACCAGTTTAGGCAAAAAAACTAGTCTAGTATATCTTCAAATTTGAGCTTCTTTTGAATGCCAAAATACTGATTGAATATAGCATTTAGATGTGTGATAATAAATATAGTTTTTAGGTGTGTGCTTCTTGTTGCATATAAGGATGCTATTCTTATCAGTGGGGCTTATTTTATTATTTACAATTAATGATGAGACTTGGATAGTTGGAGTAAAACCATAAGCAGAAAAAAAAAAATGCAATTTCTTCATCACTGAATATTGTATTTAATTTACATAGGAACTGCAATACAACATTTTATACAAGATCGAGGAGGAGTAATGCAACACCACAAAGATAATAAGCAAGGTGAAACCAATGGGTTCTTAAGAGAACTCAAGATGATTGAGGATCCACCCACTATTTTGCTATTTAAGCAGTTGGATAGGAAGATTCCATGGCAATGCCACAAATGCCTTCCTTGGCAGCAATGTCTCTTTCCATCATAATATATCCATTATCGCCCCAGCTAGTGCCCCAAGAATTCTTGACTAACCAGTACTTGGTACCATCATCACTTGTCCCATACCCAACTGCCGTAACACCATGGTCTAATTCAGTCCCACAATCTCCGGTAAAAACACCACTTGAGTAGAATTGGAAGTCAGATCCACTAGCATCAATGGCAACGGATATGGGTTGGTTGGCCACAGCCTTCAACAATGCTGCCTCACTATTGGCAGGCACATCTTCATAACCGGTGATCTTTGCTGCAGCTACCTTCTTAGTTTTACAAGTTGCATCAATTCCTTCATATGGATAATTGGCTTCAGTAGTGAGGCCATTGTTTTGTATTATGAATTCAAAGGCATCATCCATGAGGCCACCCTGACAGCCTTGGTCTACACTTGTGTCACAGTCCACAAGTTCTTGCTCAGATAATGAGATCAATTTACCAGTTGTGAGCTGGTTAATCCCTTCCATGGCTGCCACTGCTGAAAATGCCCAGCAACATCCTGCAAAAATTTTTATGGCCAGGTTAATTGTGTTATAACATATGTTTTTAGTTAGTCAAAAGGATATAAAAAAGAAATTACATATCTGAAAATGTAGTAGTGGATTAGAAAAGGGAATGTGTTGTGCCTTACCACATTGACCCTGATCCTTAATGGGAGTAACGGCTCCTTTCTTTCTCCAATCCATGCTAGCTGGAACTGCAGTCACATTTTCATACCTAAACGAAGTTGTCTTAGATGACTTCATATTGGAAGACATCTTGTAACCATTACGAGAAGCGTGAAACTCCTCATTAGTTAGGTCAGCAAATTCATTGACGCCTAACTTGTATGACTTAGTACCAGCATTGTTGAAAGACTCGATGAACTCCATATTGTCATTGAATATCTTAAATCGCATTTCTTTCTCTACACTGTCCTTGTAAACTCTTCCATAACGAGCCATCCATTGCTCATGTCTATCAATCATGGATACTTCATTCAGGGTGCGGGATGTGACTGCAGAAATCCCCATCCCAAAAATTAACAAAGTTGCACAAACTAGGTTCCAATTGAGTGTAAACCCCATTGTTTGCTTACTGAATATTGCACAGAAGATTTTGCTATTGGACAGTGAAAATGTGAATGAGTAGGCACACTTTGGTCCTTGGATATATATATATATAGATATATATATATATATATATACACAACTACATTCCTCTTGGTTCCTCACCATTTTCCCTCAAACTGAGTTCCCACTATGAGCAAGGAACCAAGGTCCTGAGAGAGCCCGGTAAGTTATGTATGGCATGGACAACTAAGGTTTGGTGCCGTAGACGTCAACTTCATTATATACTTTATCATTACTATAGTTCTGGTGAGAAATCTTCCTAAAGTTTAAGAATCTTGCTGAACTAAATGTTGGTTCTACTTCGTGCCGTCGAAGCATAAGCTCATATGGAATTTTCTTTTGTCTGCAGGCGCCTGTCCTCCTCAGTTGCAAATGTATGGACGGGGACCATTTACATGATAATGATTTTGGAATAAATAAAGTTCTTCCTTTTTTGTATATTAATATATTCTAGAGTGCACTGTGAATGTTAAAATTAATCTCAAGTATTACCTGCAAAATGGTCGTTGAATTGCATTTACTAGGCTTTTAATACCTCATAAAAGTTGGAAACAATTAATTTATGATATTAAAATAACCAATCAAGAGGGCGAGTGTGAATGGACACTTCAAGCGTGTATACTTTGATAAGCTTAGAGAAATGGATTTAATTTTGTTCTGAGACATAATGTTTACATTTGTACATCATTATTTTATCATTTCAGCTCATTTTAATTATACTTTTCTATTTTGATAAGCTTTACATCAAAAGAAAGCATGACGTACTGTTCAAAAACAGATGTGTCTAAATTATAATATGTTCAAAATGCAGGAAGTAGATCAGAATCGTCTGGATACAATTGTCTGACTAAGGCCAACATGTTAAAACAAAAATTATTTGATGAGCAGAAAAAATCGATTGAACCATTAAATAGAGCTAAATCAAATTTGATCAGCCGATTTGGTTTAAGGTTTTTCACGATTTAGTTTGATTCCGATTATAAAAATATGAAATTGTATATAATCAATTCTCTTTTCAAACCTAACTGAATGGAATCGTTATATATATATATATATATATATATATATATATATATATTACTAGTCTTTTGTTATTAACTGTATTTTATAGTATATATAATAGAATAACCAAATGTTGCAGTTTAGTTATATGTCCTCGCCTCTCAAAATAAAAGGTTAAGAGTTCAAGTTCCATTAAAAAAAAAGTGACTTGAACTGGTTTCTTACAAATATATATTACATGTATATATGTAATATATATTTTATTTTTATAAATTGGATTGAATTGTTGAAAATTTCAAATCCGTTTCACTCATATAATTAGATGCTCTCCCAATTCGTGCTTTACCAACTCGGTCACTGAATAATGTCCAACTACATAGGAATAATTCATGTCCACTCCTTTCACATGACACACCTTTTCCATCACTCCTTTCACATTTTTGCACAAATGAACATATTGATAGGCGTGTATTTATTGACTTGTCGTTGTCAAATACACTCCATTTCAAAATAACATGCATACAACTACTTAACTAAAAATGTCTAATGGTAAGTAGAATCGAACCACGCATTCAAGTGAGTTTTTGTTTTTGGACAAAAGATTTTAAAACATTAATTTTGGAGTTTGTCACAAATGATTGAAATAAAATTACTACTACAAAACCATCAAATAGGTAAGTGAGAATCAATAATAAAAGAAAGCATGTAAATAAAACCAATTTGCATTAAATTAAATGAGAAGATTGCATAAAAATTACACAAAGAAAGAAACTACAATGACAATTAAAAACTATCTAAAAACTTCCTCCCTATCTCTCTCTGAAGTATGCAATTTATAGCCAAATGGAGTAACCCACTTGTAGGCTGTGATGATGGATTTGCCTATATTTCTTTTTCATTTCTTCACGCCACCTTTCTGCTACTTACTTCACTGGCCATTTTCTTTTCTTCCTATCTACCCTTGCTAACTTCTTTCTTCTTTTTTTCTTTTCTTTTCTTCTTTCTCTCTCTTCATTTCTCTTCTTCACGTGCACACACATATACACAATATAGTTGACTTGTTTTTTTTTTTTTTTCTTTTCTTCTTTCTCTCTCCTCATTTCTCTTCTTCACTTGCACACACATATACACAATACAGTTGAATTTTGTTGTTTTTTTCTTCTCATTCATACATTAATACCTACAAAACACAAAACAAGCATATAAGAATATTTAAATAATGTAAAAGTCTAATTAAAGCTTATTTTGGTGCATGAAATAATAGGTTTTGTGTACTTATCAAACTATCCCCAAATAAGTTTTTACTAGTCCTCTAGCAAAAAAAGGCAAAAATAGATAAGTTCAAAAAAAATATTACTTTTATTAACAAAAAGATGCACCATTTTCGTAGGTTACTTTCGATTGCATTTACCATATGCAATAAGGCCTTAAACCACTAGGTTACCCGTAATGGACGAGTTATAGCCTCGTGAGGGTTTGCAATGAAGGTACCCACAAACTTCCAAAGAATTTACCTGCATATTTACAAAATGAAAAGTTTCAGAGATTAAAATATCAAGTTCTTTATTTACAACGAACTACTAAGGTGTTATAAAAACAAATATTTCAAGAAAGTTCACTTATAAACAACCTAAAAGTAGAGAGTGTGTGTGTGCGAAGTCAACAAAAATCCATTTTCAAATCCAAGTGATGAAATTCCCAAGTCTTTAGAAAACTATGTTTTGACTTCAAATCTTACAGTAAATATCTCTCTAAAAGAACATCTCTCGAGGATTTGGCTAACTGTATCTCTCAAATGTATATGAGTAGGAACTCTGTTTCCAAAGTAAAATCAAGTTCACATACTAATTATTTGAAGGACCGATACATATAATAGAAGAGTCTCATAATAAGAATCTTGATCACTTTTGAGAGAATGTCGAGTCACCCACCATAACGCCTTCTCATTTACTTGCACTATCACACCTTTTCTAAAAACTTTATTGAGCTCAATTTGTACATAAATGTTTCTGAGAATGAGGGGTTTTCAAAATACTTGAAAGGGACACTTTACTCTTCTTCTTTTTCTCCTTTTTTTTTTTTTTTTTTTTTTTTTTGAAGAGGATATGAATGACTTCTCGATCCCTTTTTCTTTTACACACAGTCATCCCTAACATTTCTCAGAAAAATAATAAGATTACAAAGGGTAATGAAGGTATAATAGTAATAGTAAACTAGAAGATTTATGTTTCTCCTAACTCGATGTGATTTCATTCTCAATGATCTACCAAGATGAAGGATTATGAGACTAACAACAAATTTTTATCGCGCTATCCAAGAAATTTGAGCCATCTTGTGACTCAGAGTTAGCGTAAAGCTCTCTAAAAAGATGAAAGGCACGAAAGCTCTCATGGTTTTAAGTCTCCAGTAATAGATTCTAAATTCTTGGGAGATTATTCACTTCTTTCTTTCAAGCTGCGACTTTGTGCAAAAATAATTCTACTTCTAAATTTTCATGGTAAAATGTCTATCGTTATATCACCTTAGTAATAAGCTTAATCTCAATCTAGAATAATGACATCTCTTAACTTTCACAAAGTAGAAAAGCAGGAATTTTATATTATTTTTTATTATTATTTTTTTTTTTGTGAAAAGATTTTCAAAAGAGGTACATATTTTGATAAAATTGTCCTACTCTCAACAAAATAAAACACTGTCCCTAGTGTTTGAAAAATAGAGCACTGAAAAGTAGGGGTGGCAAAGTTCGTTACGACCTGCCAACATGACACGTATACGACACGAGTTAAATGGGTAATAGGTTTACCATAAACGGGTTTATGTCGTAAACGGGTTGACACGGTTAACCCGTTTAGTTAAACGTGTCGTGTTCGGGTTTTGGGGTTCAACCTGTGTAACCCGTTTAATTAAATGTGTCACCCATGAACCCGTTTAACATATTACTTGTTTTAAGCTGATTAATAAAGGACATTATGATCATTTCGTACTTGCATAAGTAACCCTAAATTCTTAAAGCACTCTAAGTCCAGGTCCATTACACGCCTCTCGATCAAAAGAAAACTTTTCAGTCTCTCGTCTTTCTATGCCGCCTCACTGCCTCAGCCTCTGTGTGATTCTCTCTCTCTCTCTCTCTAAGATTGAGTCCCTAACCATACAAATTTCATCTCAATCTCTCAAACCACACCACACTTTGAGCGACCAAAAAGATCAACAATCTTGATAACTACAGTTTGAGCGACCAAGAAGATTTGAAGAACACAAACTTCGAACGATCGAAGTAAGTTTTCTAATTTTTTTTTTTGTCATTCATCTTTCAGATATGCTTTAAAAAACAAGAGTATATCTAGATGCAGATCTTGAGATCCGGTCCGTATTGTGACTTGTAAACTCATTTTTTGCAGATCTTGAGATCGATTCGATCTCTTTCAAAGAGCTTCAAATCTGCTATCAGGTTCGGATAAATACTCTCCCTCTTTCTAGTTTATATATATATATATATTTATTTATTTATTATTTATTTGTGAAATTTCTTAGAACCAGCTGTGTGTTAATATATTTTTATTTCTAATTGTCCTTAATGTGGATTTAAAAGTTTATAAATCAGCCTTGTGCTATCACCATTCCTCTTTTTAAGATGAACATATGAAAAGATCAATTATGATTAGTTTAAAGAAATAGACACACAAATAACAAAAATAATTGAATAATTTGTGTGAGCTAAGAAAATAAATGTACGAAGAAGAAACCATGTGTCTCTCTCTCTCACAAAAGTCAACTAAATGCAGAAATACAAGGCAGGAAAAAAGAAAGATGAAATTTAACAAGGGGTTTGGTCAGTGAATCATTTGATGACCCACAAACATATGCAAGTCAACCACCAACCTGCCATCACAATTCCAATTGTCCTTGATGTGTTCTTAAAAATTATAAATCAGTCTGGTGCACATAAAAGAGAACAGTCGTGTATTTATCTCATATTTGAACTAAACATGACTAGAATTTGTCCATTTTCCCTTTGTTATTTGAATTAAATGTTTGCATTTACTAGAAGTTGTTTTTGTTTG